GCCATGGCCAGATGCTCCCGCTAGACATGGCCACAGATGGCCAGCTGTCCAGTTAACAGAACACACTGCCCTCCCGGCACTCCAAAGTAAGGACGACAGCAAGAACTAGGAGCACTTGCTTGTTCTGAACCTGGCCAAGCATCAGCCCTGATTTTCTAGAAAAGCCACATTAAGCCAGTCATCTCACAGAGTCTCACATCTACAATCCTGGCTACGCAGGAGGCTGAGCTCTGAGGATCATGGTTTAAAGTGATCCCTGGCAGACAAAGCTGAGATACTCTTATCTTTAATCAACCAGCAAAAAGCCAGAAGCTGAGGTGTGGCTCAAGTGGTAGAACACTGGCTTTGAATGAATAAAAGCTAAGCAAGAGCAAAAGGTCTTGAGTCCAAGCCCCAGGACAGGCAAAACAAATAAATAAATAGGCACTTTAAAGGTGATTTAGGGGCTGGGAAGGTGGCTTAGTGGTAGAGTGCTTGCATAGCATGCATGAATTCCTGGGTTCGATTTCTTAGTACCACATACACAGAAAAAGCTGGGAAGGAGCGCTGTGGCTCAAGTGGTAAAGTGCTAGCCTTGAGCAAAAGAAGCTCAGGGACAGTGCCCAGACCCTGAGTTCAAGCCCCGGGACTGGAGAAGAAAAAAAAAAAAAAAGGTGATTCAGTTAGTAGCTATACAGTGCTTAAACCCACATAACTGGATCACTCACTGCTAGCCAGCCATTCAGGCTGAAATTTTAAGAGGAACGGAACCTGGTGCCCAATCAGGAAGCCCCAGCTGCCTAACTCTGATCATGAGCTACAAGTGGTCCAGACATAGAGACATGCAGTTATGTCACATAAAAGGCATGCCAACCACAAAAGTAACTTCTTAGTTTACTCATTTAAAATCTGATTGTAGCTAGGCACCAGTAGTTCAGGCCTATAATCCTCCTCAGGACACTGAGATCTGAGGATCATGGTATGAAGAGAGCCCAAGGAAGAAAGTCCGTGAGATTCTTAATCTTCTATTAACCACCAAAAAAAGCTGAAAGTAGAGCTGTGCCTCACATAGTAGAGTGCTCGCAGCGAGCAACAAAGCCCAGGGGGCAGTGCCCAGACCCTCTCAGCTCAAAGACCAGGACTGGCACAAATTAAAATAAAATAAAATGAAATCTGATTTTAAACAAGTCAAAATAGCATATACAATGGATGCCACAACATAAAAACCAACACCTATTTTTAAAACCTAAAGGTTATAGTTTTGAGAGCTTATTTTCTGGATATTACAAAAGAGCCCAACAGAAATGAATAGATCTATCTTCTTCTCTTTACAAATATACACAAATATATTCTGTATGTGTGTACACGTATGTATATATAGGTGTGTATATATATACATATATATATATACAGATAGATATATCTAGATATCTATATCTATCTATATATACATACCTATATAGATATCTATACCTGTATATGTGTGTATGTATACGTATGTGTGTGTGTATGTATATATATATATATATATATATATATATACACCACACACATACATATGCATGCTTTCATTTCTCTCCAAATTTAGGCATCTGTATATATCTGTAGAGAATTAAACAATTTAAAGAACTTCTTTTTTTAGCCGGGAGCCGGTGGCTCACACCTGTAATCCTAGCTACTCAGGAGGCTGAGATCTGAGGATCGCGGTTCAAAGCCAGCCCGGGCAGGAGAGACCTATCTCCAATAAACCACCAGAAGTGGTGCTGTTGCTCAAGTGGTAGAGTGCTCGCCTTGAGCTGAAGAGCTGAGGGACAGTGCCCAGGCTCAGAGTTCAAGCCCCATGGCCGACCAAAAAAAAAAAAAAGAAAACCGGAAGTGAGGCTGTGGCTCCAGCGGTAGAGCGCTTGCCTTGAGCTGAAGAGCGCAGGGACAGCGCCCAAGCCCAGAGTTCAAGCCCCATGACCGACAAAACAAAAACAAAAAAAACTACTTTTTTTGTGTGCCAGATCTGGGGCTTGAACTCAGGGCCTGGGTGCTGTCCCTGAGTTTTTTGCTCCAGGTTGGTGCTCTACCATTCAAGTGGTGTAACTCCACTTGCAGTTCTTGGTAACTAATTAAAGATAAAGATTCTCACAGACTTTTCCTGCCTGAGCTGACTTCAAACTGCAACCCTCAGATGTCAGCCTCCTGAGCAGCTAGGATGACAGGCATGAGCCAAGAGCACCTGGCTTAAAGAACTACTTTTAGTGTCAGTTTTAGAAAAAGATTTCTCTGAAAGCTCCACAAGTAGAAGCCTGATTTTGTTTGGTTCCAAAATTAGTCATTTCAATAGTATAAGCTACTTTTAATGCTCTGCTGAAGAGGAACACCTTGGGAATGTACTTTTATGTATATAGAAAATACATAGAGGGGCTGGGAAGGTGGCTCAGTGGGAGAGCGTTTGCCTTGCATGCATGAGGCCCTGGGTTTGATTCCTCAGCACCACATAAGCAAAAAAGAAAAAAGCCAGAAGTGGTGCTGTGGCTCAAGTGGTAGAGCGCTAGCCTTGAGCTGAAGAGCTGAGGGACAGCGCCCAGGCCCAGAGTTCAGGCCCCACGACCGGACCCCCCCCAAAAAAAGAAAATACATAGAATTGCAAAAGTTCCCTTAACAGCAAAGGCAATTGAAGCACTGTGCTCAATCTATGATTTTTTTTTTCCATCAACAACCATTACGAATCCTGATCCCCACTGAAAACCAAATAAAACGTGTCTGCAATCAATGATAAAGCCTTGGAGAGGCACCAGGCACTGGGAGGCAGAGGCAGGATTCACACCACTCACTTGGGGGACAGAAGGCTCACAATCACCTCACAATCAACGCGTGAGGGCAGGTCGGCCTGCAACATCTGTACCGTCTCATCACTCATAAAGCCGTGTGACAGAAATCACTAGTAAATCTATTTGGCCAAATGTAGATTCAATTAAAACTTGGATAATAAGATTAGAAGCAAAAGCCCATATGGAGAACTACAGCAGGGAACTGTGGGAAAAATAGGTTTCAATATCCCTGCATCTGGACAACAGTTCCCAGCCCGGCTTCTCAGGAGGCAGGACTCAAGCCCAGTGCTGCTGGGAGGGAAGGAGGGAGGGAAGTAGGGAGAGAGGGAGGGAAGGACAGAGACATGCACAGGCTCACTGAGTCTCTTCCTTCCCTGGCCTCCAAAGGGCGCCTGTAAGTAACACCAGAGTGCTAGGGAAAATTCTAGCATGTGTCCAAGCTGCCAATGTCAACTTGATGATTAAAGGGCTCATCTGCTCAGTCATAAATCCATTTTAGTTGGAAAATTTTTTTCTTTACTTTCTACCATGCATGGTTTTTTGTTGGTTTTTTTGGCCAGCCCTGGGGCTTGAACTCAGGGCCTGAGCACTGTCCCTGAGCTTCTTTTGCTCAAGGCTAGCACTCTACCACTTGAGCCACAGTGCCATTTTTGGCTTTTTCTGTTTATAGATACTGAGGAATCGAACTCAGGGCTTCATGCAGGCTAGGCAAGCACTTTACCACTAAGCCACATTCCCAGCCCCTATACCTATGCATGTTTATAGCATAAAACTCTTTTTCAGCCAGCAAAGATCAGAAGGACAGGGAATGAAACTCAACGAAAAGACAGGTGAAAGCACACACAGCTGATGTCTTTTTCTCCAGTATTCTCGGGTCAGAGCTACGTGAAGTGAATGTACGTTACGGGAACTGCAGCATTTTATATATCATATATAAATTACTTTATGCCATTACAACATACTCAGGCAAATTAAAATTTAAACTTTCTTATTAAATATTATTTGAAAGCTGGGCACTGCTGACTTACACCTGTGGTCTTAGCTACTCACAAGGCTGAGATCTGAAGTTTGTGGTTCAAAGCCAGCCTGTGCAGGAAAGTCTGTGTGACTCTTATCTCCAATGAACCACCAGAAATACAGAAGTGGTGTTGTGGCTCAAAGTGGTAGAGTGCTAACCTTGAGCAAAGGAGTTCAGGGATGGCGCCCAAGCCCTGCGTTCAAGCCCCACAACTGACAAAAAGATAATAATAATTGTTTGCTCATTGAGTGAAATCCTCATTCTACATTCCTATTATATATGAAACTAAGCCCACAACAATCAATCAGATTTTCCTCTACCAGCATTGAATTCAAGAAAGAATAACAGGGGCTGGGAAGGTGGCTCAGTGGTAGAGCGCTTGCCTTGCATGCATGAGGCCCTGGGTTCGATTCCTCAGCACCACATAACCAAAAAGAAAAAAAGCTGGAAGTGGTGCTGTGGCTCAAGTGGTAGAGCACTAGCCTTGAACTGAAGAACTGAGGGACAGCGCCCAGGCCCAGAGTTCAGGCCCCACAACCGGACCCAAAAAAAAAAAAGAAAGAAAGAATAACAGAGCTGGGCTCCGGTGGCTCACGCCTATAATCCCAGCTACTCAGGAGGCCGAGATCTGAGGATCACGGTTCAAAGCCAGCTTGGACTTGTCCGTGAGACTCTTATCTCCAATAAAGCACTAGAAAACTGAAGTGGCGCTGTGGCTCAAGTGGTAGAGCGTTCACCTTGAGCAAGAGCGCAGGGACAGCGCCCAAGCTGAGTTCAAGCCTCACGACCGACAAAAGGAAGGAAGGAAGGACAGGGCTGAAGGACAGAGAGCAGCAACAAGCCTACCAACCATCTGAAAGGGCAGAACTTACTCTTGTAATCCTAGCTACTCTGGAGGCTGAATGTGAGGAACAAGGTTCGAAGCCAGCCTAGGCAAGAGTGTGTGTTAGATTAACCACCACAAAGTCGACATTTAAAGCTGGGGCTGAAGTGGTAGAGCGCCAGCCTGGAGTGAACCAGCACCCAGGCCCTGAGTTCATGCCTCAGTGACGGCACCCAAAACAAACCGAAAAATGAACCCAATCTCTGCACCATCACGTTGGTTTAGTCTAGCCTTACACCCAAAACCTTTTGTTCCCAACTGGCCAGGGAGGAAGGATGGAAGGTGGCCCCGAAGGACTCACCCAGGCCACTGAGTGTGTAGAGAAGGTCGCTGGTACGTAGGAAGATGGGGCCGTGTTCCTGCTGCCCCTCTTCTTTGTAGAAGAGCTTGTAGCCCCGGACGGCGGCTCGGTCCTGAGCGCCCAGCTGCCACCTCACTGAAATCGTGGTGCAGTTCAGAGGGTCCAGATACAGCTCTGGAGACTTCGGGGCTAGAAGAATTCACCAGGAAATGAATGCAGTGTTAATGACCCATGACCCACCCTCCGAAGACTACGGAGGGCAGGCCTGGGGGACAGCACCAATGCTTCCTACCTGACAGCCTGACTTCATTGTCCAAATTGTCGGCAAGAGAGCGCGCACTACTTGAAAGGCTATGATAACAAAATACTATCTGCACAAGTATTTGTCTATTTAATATTTTTTCATTAAAGGTAATTTTTTTCAAAGAAGCAATATTTTCTGATTCTGACCATTCAATACCCTGCTGTGATACGGAACAAGAATTATCATCAAATAATACTAAAATCAGTCATGAGTAAGAGGGCTAGAGTTTTCCATTCTCATAGACCTCCTCCCTCTCCCTTCCTTCTCTCTCCTTCCTTCCTTCTTTTTACTTATCACTGTCTTTCGCTTTTTTTTTTTTTTTCCTTTTTCCCAAATAAGATCTCACATTAACTTTTGCCCAGGCTGGTCCTGAATCCCAATCTTCCTATCTCTGGATGAATAGCTTGGATTACAGGGGTGTAGCACCACACCTATCTCTTTTCTTTCTTTTGAACTGATGATTTCTTAAAGTAATATAATAAAGCAATATGAAAGGCTCCCTTAATATATTCCCTCTAGTAACTCTGATTGATCGGGCTGATCTGTCCGTGAAAGTTTTCCAAAGCCCATCAGTAGTTTATCCACTAGTTAATTCTAAGTCCAAAGGGACTAGAAATAATAAAAACTTTCAATGTTTCCAACTAACTCCACCACCTGTGGAATTTTTTTTTTTTTTGGTCAGTCGTGGGGCCTGAACTCCGGGCCTGGGCGCTGTCCCTCAGCTCTTCAGTTCAAGGCTAGCGCTCTGTCACTTGAGCCACAGCGCCACTTCCAGCTTTTTCTGCTTATATGGTGCTGAGGAATCGAACCCAGGGCCTCATGCATGCAAAGACAAGCACTCTACCACCGAGCCACCTTCCCAGCCCTACCTGTGGAATATTTTTATTTGTAAGACAACAACAACAAAAGTAAGCATAGCCTGGCGCTGGTGGCTCACGCCTGTAATTCTAGCTGCTAAGGAAGCTGAGATCTGAGGACTGCAGTTCAAAGCCAGCCCGGACAGTAAAGTCTGTGAGACTCTTAATCTCCAATTCATCACAGAAAAAGTCAGAAGTGGTGCCATAGCTCAAATGGTATAGTGCCAGCCTTGAGCAAAAGGAGCTTAGGGACAGCAGACCCAGGCCCAGAGTTCAAGGCCCGAGACGGGCAAAAACAAAAAACAAAAAAAACACCAAGCATAATTAGGGGCAAATCTGGTTCCAAAGTGAGAGCGCCACGCTGTTCCTCGGGAGGGAGGGTACCTTGCACACTGGTGGCTTTGGGAGTCCTGTGTGACGTCCACACGGACGACTCCCCCAGTCCCACTCGGGTGGCAGCAGCAATCCGGACCAGATAGACACAGTCGGGTTTCAGGCCTTCCAGAAGGTGCTCGTGCGTGGTCCCGGGGAGCTCCAGGACCTGGATGTGGCTGTCGGAGCTCAGGCGGAAGGACAGGCGGTACAGGACCACCTGACCACGCCGATACTTGGCGGGGATGGGCAGCCAGGAGATGAGGATGTCCGTGGGACTGCGGCTGGTCAAGCTAATTTCAGGAGGTCTCAGAGGAACTGGTCACAGAGGAAAGCACATGGTCAATACTTCAGCAAGCCGCCGCTCTTACGCAATGCCACGCAGCCACTGAACGCTGCTTGGGGCTTAACCGCAGGGCCTCGCATCCTCACTAGACATTTGTCCACTCAAGGCTGACACTCTACCATTTGAGTCACACCTCTACTTTCTGCTTTTTGCTGCTTAGTTGGAGATAAGAGTCTCATGAATTTTCTTGCCTGGAGTGGCTTCAAACCGTGATCCTCAGATCTGTCTCCTGAACAGCTGGGATTACAGGCTTGAGTCATCAGTGCCTGGCATATCACGTATGGTTTTATTAGTTTACATTCACTCGGGGCGGGGGGGGGGGATTATTTTATTGTGACCTTCTACACGTTTGCAATGTATTCCGATCAGTCTCACCCCTCTATAACTCTCCTGTCCCCTCTTCCTGAATCAGTATCATACAGTTTCATTATTCATTATTCTGTTTTCATACATCTAGTCTACACTGATACATTCATTGCCTGTCAATCCACGCTGGGTCTGTGTCTGTGTGTGTGTGCGCATGCACGCACATGCACATGTAGTACTTGAACTCAGGGCCTCATGGTTGTGCTTGGCTGATGCTCTACCACTTGAAACACAGCTCCACTATGGGCTTTTTTTGCTGGTTAATTGGAGCTCAGAGTCTCTTGGACTTTCCTGCCCAAGCTGGCTTTGAACTGTGATCCTCAGATCTCAGCCTCTTGGGTAGCTAGGCTTAATAGGCGTGAACCACCAGCGCCTGGCTTTCCTAAAACAAGAAAAGGTATGTTCTCTCACTTGATGCACACTCATTCACGGAAAGGTGATTGCACAGCTGCACGATTGTGTTGTATAAACCTATCCAGAAGCACGGTCCTCTTACCATCCTCCAGGGTGTTCTGTGTCACGTGGTCTGACATCTGGCTAGCCCCCATCGGCATGTAGGCCACAATGTAGAAAGTGTAGTTGCTGGCAGGTTCTAAATCATCAATAATGTAATGGGTTGTGTCATTCCCAAGAACTACTTGATATTCTTCATTATTTAAACCTAGAGGGAAAGTCCACTTTTAAAAATTACACATATTCCACATAACATGAGCAAGACCATTTTCCCTGATAATGAAACACAAGGGGAGGGGTCTGGCCCTCATCTGTGTCTGCTCTGGGGCTTGCTGCCTTCATGGCACACACTGTTTTCACAGCAGTTCATTGTTTCCCTATAAGTAATCAAGTGAGGGGCTGGGAAGGTGGCTTAGTGGTAGAGCGCTTGCCTTGCATGCCAAAGGCCCTGGGTTCGTTTCCTCAGCACCACATAAGCAAAAAGAA